CTCGAAGACTATCAAGCGGCCTTCGGCCCCCATCCCGCCACCCTGCCTGGGTCGTGGAGAGGATGCTTCTTGGATGCCTGTCGTGGGCCTCTTTGTGGCCTCTTGGGGATCTCTTGGGCGCCTTTTGAGGGCCCCTCCAAGCAGTGACGAAGCTTCCTGGCTCGCCTATAGGCCCACCAAGTATTGTTCTTAGAACCTTTTGTGGTCTGCACGCAATGTTCTGATAGCATTTCTGGTTGAGACTTTTTTGTTTGAACACATCGGGTTTATGTTCTAAGAAAATTGTTTTTGTTATTATAGAATTGTTGGGTTCTAAAAACATGTCGTGGTAGGCCGATAGAGTACCGGGACGGTCGGTCCCTGCTCAATCCCTTGGGGCTCTTGAGGGCCTCTTCTTCAGAGCACTGTGGCGATCTCGGTGGCCTCTTGAGCCGTCTGTGAGCGATCTGGAGGCCCTCTCTGGTCGTCTTTGGCGATCTCACGGCCGAAACGCCGACACATTTCAGGTTGATGAAATCGCAGTGCGGACGGCCCTCAGGACTTCCCAGGCGGCTCAAGAGGCCCCCAATGCTTAGTGGGCCCTGGAAACGACAGGGCCGTTTTTTTTGCCGGTTCCGTTCTGCCGTTTTTTTGCCGGTTCCGACGCCGGTTTTTTACTGGTTCCGTCGCCGTTTTTTGACCGGTTCCGGCTCCGGTTCCAATCCTGGAGCCGTTCTTTTGCCGTTTCCGGTCGCTGTTTTTTTCCCGTTTCCATTTTCAAGGGACATTTTTTTTGGAAACGGTGAAAAAACGGCCCTGCCGTTTCTGGGGCCCACAAAGCCCCCAATGGTACCCCATGACTGACCCTCGGGGCCGTCTTAATACGCGCGGGAAGTGTGGACTCCCAGCCACTCGTCCAGGGCCTCAGGGCAAGTCTTGCGACATGCTCCAGGAGCTCCCGCGAGGCCCCAGGAGCTCCCGACCGCGCCCCGCAGCGCACGTACATTCTCCTGACGCCTCGCGTATGCCTGCCAACCCTATCCAGGATCGCAGGAACGATGCCTGTGCGAGCTGCTTGGATGAGGAGGTTGAGTGAGGGGAGGGTGATGAGACGGATAACGATGAGGAGCAACAGGAGGAGGAAGAGGTTCAGGAGGATAAGTAGGAGGAGGAGGAGGAGGAGGAGGAGGAGGAGGAGGAGGAGGAGGAGGAGGAGGAGGAGGAGGAGGAGGAGGAGGAGGAGGAGTAGGAGTAGGAGGAGCAGGAGGAGGATGAGGAGGAGGCGGAGGAGTGAGGACGAGGGGGAGGAGGTGGATGAGGTCGGGGAGAAGGAGGAGAAAGAGGCCCACGCGGATCCTTTGGTGTGAGAGCCCCTTGGGACTATTGGGCCGTCTTGGGGCCTGTTGCGGTCGTTTGTGGGCCCCCCTGGGGCTTCTTCGGGGACGTCTTGGGGCCCTGATTGGGCTCCTTTTTTTTGGGGGGGTGGGTGGGCCCTTTTGGAGCGATCTTGGGTGGGCCCTAAGGCTCAAAATGGCGGGGTTCTCAACTGGCCCCCCCCCCAAGAAGCAGAAGCATTTTCTCTGGGGCTGGAGGTCTTGGGGGAATTGGAGGGCCCTCTGGGGCCTGTTGGACTGTCTTGGAGCCCTCTTGGGCTTCTCTTGGGTCTTTTTGGGGCCGCCTTGGCGCGATCCTCAGGCCTCATATGCCCATCGTAAGCGAAGAGACGAGGGGGCACACATCATTGATCCCTGTAGGCCTGGGGGCGATGTTTGCCTTTTGGGTTTGGGAAGCTCCGGGGGCAACTGGAGCGGCACGATGGCCGTCTCGGAGCCTCTTCGAAGCATGCTGGGTCTATATTGAGCCATATTACGCTATCTTGCCGCCACTTTGAAGCTCATGTCTGAGCTATGTGAGACCATTGTGGGTCCATCTTGCGCCAACACAAACCCTCTATCCACTCTCGCCCCCTCCATCCCAGACCCAGACCCAGGGCACGTAGGGGGTAGGGGTAGGGGCACCCCCTTCCCGAATAGGGGGCGGAGGGGGACCGTTGTACCACCTGCGCCCAGAGGACTGGTGGGACTCAGGGAACCCGGGGCCTGTGGCCCTCAACGCATACTTTAGGCATTTATTCTATGCACAGAGCTCGACGGTACCAGAGGACACTCCCCTCATTGCCTCGTGGCACAATGGCGGATCAGTCTTTGTGGGGGGACTTCTCAAAAAACAGTCCAGTGTTCGACCACTTGGATATTCATGTCACATTGTTCCCCACATCCTGAGTGGGGTTCATGTTTTCCCAGAACATCCTCTCCTTCTCCCTCCCGCCTCCCGCCTCCCATATCAATACCATGCCTACCATTCCAGCCTCCCATATCATACCATGTCTACCAATCCATACCATACCATACGTACCATACCATACCATACCATACCATACCATACCATACCATACCATACCATACCATAGCATACATACCACACACTACCAAACAATACCATACCATGCCATACCTACCATGCCATACCATACCATACCATACCATACATACCACGCACTACCGAACAATACCATACCATACCAACCATACCATATAGCATGCGTACCATACCATACCATACCACACCATACCATACCAGACCTACCATACAAAACCATACGACACCTACCATACAATATAATACCTACCATACGATACAACACCATACCACACATACCATACAATACCATACCAAACTACCCATGCCATAACATACCATACATACCTTACCATACCATGCCCGCAAGAGCGAGCAGGGTATCGGAGTACCACACTATTTACTAGGTTTCGTGCCCCTCCCGCCCCTCCAGGGAGGCCCCGCCCGAGCGAGGAGGGTGTCGGAAACCCATGCTATTTACATGGTTTCGTGCCCCTCCCGCCCCTCCAGGGAGGCCCCGCCTGAGCGAGGAGGGTATTGGAAACCCATACTATTTACATGGTTTCGTGCTTCTCCCACCCCTCCTGAGAGGCCCGGCCTGAGCGAGGAGGGTATCGGAAACCCGTATTATTTACATGGTTTCGTGCCCCTTCCACCCCTCCAGGGAGGCCCCGTTTGAGCGAGGAGGGTATCGGAAAACCCATACTATTCACATGGTTTCGTGCCCCTCCCACCCCTCCAGGGAGGCCCCGCCCGAGCGAGGAGGGTATCGGAAACCTATGCTATTTACAAGGTCCTGAGCGAGGAGGGTATCGGGCACCTATACTATTTAGATGGTTTCGTGCCCTTCCCACCTCTCCAGGGAGGCCCCGCCTGAGCAAGGAGGGTATCGGAAACCCATACTATTTACATGGTTTCGTGCCCCTCCCACCCCTCCAGGGAGGCCCCGCCTGAGCGAGGAGAGTATCGGAAACCCTTACTATTTACATGTTTTCGTGCCCCTTCCACCCCTCCAGGGAGGCCCCGCCTGAGCGAGGAGGGTATCGGAAACCCATGCTATTTACATGGTTTCGTGCCCTTCCCACCCCTCCAGGGAGGCTCCGCCTGAGCGAGGAGGGTATCGGAAACCCATACTATTTACATGGTTTCGTGCCCCTCCCACCCCTCCAGGGAGGCCCCGCTTGAGCGAGGAGGGTATCGGAAACCCGTACTATTTAGATGGTTTCGTTCCCTTCCCACCTCTCCAGGGAGGCCCCGCCTGAGCGAGGAGGGTATCGGAAACCAATACTATTTACATGGTTTCGTGCCCCTCCCACCCCTCCAGGGAGGCCCCGCCCGAGCGAGGCGGGTATCGGAAACCCAGGCTATTTACATGGTTTCGTGCCCCTCCCACCCCTCCAGGGAGGCCCCGTCTGAGTGAGGAGGGTATCGGAAACCTACACTATTTAAATGGTTTCGTGCCCGTCCCACTGACATGGGTGAGGAGCAGGGGAGAACATTACCTATTCATCTCAAGGCCTACTCCTTCTCATGTTCATACTCCTGGTCATCCTCCTGCTGCGGTTCCTGCTGCTGCTCTTCACCATCATCCATCTTATCCTATCCTTCCTCCTCCTCCTCCTCCTCCTCCTCCTCCTCCTCCTCCTCCTCCAGGAGGGTATCGGAAAACAATGCAGTTTACTCGGTTTCGTGTCCCCCCTCCACTCCTCCAGAGAGGCCGCGCTTGAACGAGGAGGGTCGCGGAAAGCATTACTCTTTACCAGGTTTCGTAGCCCTCCCCCATTCCAGCGGGGCCCCGCGCTTCGTTTCCTGAGCACCTGTCCTCCCTCCTCCTTTCTTTCGCCTGCCCTTTCGTGCGTACTTACTCGTTCGATGAGCTTCTCCTTCGTGTTGATGTTGTCGTACCTCATTGGTCCCACGAAACCGTTCATATCTTTATGTGGGGAACTCCGTTAGCATACTTTTACCAGAACAGAGTCTCCGAATTCTTCTTCTGATGTTGGTGAATGATCCATTTCTCCAATATTTTCTCGACGCAGAAAACTCAATGATCTACCCTTTGACCTTCGAGTTCGCTTCGGGGCGCGCGCCAAACTGAAAACGAGAGAGAGAGAGGAGACATTCAATACCCCAGGCCCAAACGTACCAACGCGCAGAAGAGGAGGAGGAGGCGGAGGAGGAGGAGGAGGAGGAGGAGGAGGAGGAGGAGGAGGAGGAGGAGGGGAGGAGGAGGAGGAGGGAGGAGGAGGAGGCGGAGGAGGGCGGAGGAGGGCGGAGGAGGGCGGAGGAGGGCGGAGGAGGGCGGAGGAGGAGGAGGAGGAGGAGGGAGAGGAGGAGGAGGAGGAGGAGGAGGAGGAGGAGGAGGAGGAGGAGGAGGAGAAGGAAACCACACCCTTTTTTTAGCACACTGCTCCTCCTCACCTGCTCCCCTTGCCTTCCCCCTTCCTGCACCTCTCTCCTTTCCCCTCCTCCCTCCCCCTCCCCCCCCCGCCTGCCCCTCCCCCTCCTACCCGGCTTCCTCTCTCCCCCGCCTCCCCCCCTTCCCCCCCCCCCTCCCCCTCGCCCTCCTTTGTTTTCGTGCTCCTCCCGGCTGCTCTCGCCAGATGCCGACCGCTCGGGAGATCATGATGAGCCGGGCCAAGGCCCCAGCGAAGGCGCCAGGGATACGCGCGTTCCCGCCGCACTTTGTTACCTCTTCTCACGGGGCCCTGCTCCCCAGCGAGGTTCTCACCGCGCTTCCCCCCGGTTTCTACTGCCTCCTTACCGTTGTCCCGACCTTCGTGTCAGCATCATGCGGCTTTCTGCTGTCTTTCTTTTTTTCTTTCTTTCTCTTCATCTTTATCTATGTCTCTCCCCTTTCGATCCCCCTCCCTCGCACACGCTCTCTCAAAGGCTAGCTATGTGTCTTGTGTTCAGTCTCATTATCATATTATCTCTCCTTGGCTATCTATTTGTCCCCCGCCTCCCTCGTCCCACGCTCGCACATGAAGCATCCTGACACAAAGGAGTATTCGGACTTACATCCGACACTCAGGTTTATATTAACTTTGTTTTCGAAAGAGGCTCGATGTTCCTCGTGCACGTTTGCGCAACCGAGGCCCAACATGACATGTGTCTCGCTCATCATGCGATGTTGCTTAAGGCACGAAGCTGGTTGTACGTCGCACACTTTTTGGCGTCGCGGTCACGCGCGCGGTGGCTTGGCGTAGGATAAGCCAGGCGTAAATGTCGCACACACACGCACGCACCCACGCACGCACGCACACGCGCGCGCACGCACGCACGCACGCACGCACGCACGCATGCACGCACACACACACACACCCACACACCACACCCACCACACACACCCACACACCCACCACACCCACCACACACACCACACCCACCACACACACCACACACACCACACACACCACACACCACACACACCACACACACACACCACCACCACACACACCACACACACTACACACCACACACACCACACACACCACACACACCACACACACCACACACACCACACACACCACACACACACACACCACACACCACAGACCACACACACCACACACACCACATACACATCACACACACACCACACACAAGACACAACACACAACACACACAACACACAACACACAACACACAACATACAACACACACAGCACAAACAACACACAATACACAGCACACAGCACACAGCACACAACATACAACACACAGCACACAACACACAACACACCACACACCACACACCACACACCACACACCACACACCGCACACCACACACCACACAGCACACAACGCACACCACACAACACACAGCGCACACCACACAACATACAATACACAACACACAACGCACAATGCACAACGCACAACGCACAACGCACACCACACACCACACAACACACAACACACAACGCACACCACACAACACACAACACACAACACACAACACACAGCACGCAGCACACAGCACACAAGGCACGCAGCACACAGCACACAGCACACAACACACAACACACAGCACACACCACACAACACACACCACACACACCACACAACACACAACACACAACACACAACACACAACACACAGCATACAGCACACAACACACAACACACCACACAACCCATATCACATAGCACACACCACACAACAGACACCACAAACCACACACCAGGCAACCTATAGCACACAACGCACAACGCACAACGCACAACGCACACGCACACCGCACAACGCACAACGCACACCGCGCACAACACACAGCACACACAGCGCACACCACACAACATACACTACACAGCACACAGCACACAACACCCACAGCACACACAACGCATACAACACACACAGCACACACCACACAATACACACCACACACCACACAACACACAACACACAACACACAACACACAACACACATCTCACACCACGCAGCACACACCACACACCGCACACAACACACACAACACACAACACACATCACACAGCACACACCAAACAACACACAATACACAGCACACAGCACACACCACAACCCACACCACACAACACACACCACAACACACAACTCACAACTCACAACACACAACACACAGCACTCAACACACAACACACAACACACAACACACACCACACAACACACCACACGACTCACAACAGACAACACACAACACACAACACCCCACACATCACACATCATACAGCACACAGCACACACCACACACCACACAACACACAACACACAGCATACACAGCACACACAACACACAACACACACCACACTCAAACACACACACAACACACAACACACACACACCACACACACACGCACGCACGCACGCACACGCGCACACGCACACTCACACACACCGCACACGCATACGCACACGCACACGCACACGCACGCGCACACGCACACGCACACGCACACGTACCCGCACACGCGCACGCACACGCACACTCACACGCGCACGCACACGCACACGCGCACGCACACGCACGCGCACGCGCACACGCACACGCACACGCACACGCGCACGCATACGCCCACGCACACGCACACGCACCCCCACACACACACACACCACACACGCCCACCACACACGCACACGCACGCGCACACGCACACGCACACGCACGCGCACACGCACGCGCACACGCACACGCTACCCACACACGTTCACACATTCTCGCGCACACCCGCGCGCACCCACACACCCCCACACCCCCACGCCCCCACACCCCCAACACCCCACACATCCCACACACCCACACGCCCACACCCACACACCAACACCCACACTCCCACGCAACCACGCGCCCACACGCCCACGCACCCACACACCCACACACCCACACACCCACACTCCCCCAACATCCCACGCGCCCCACGCACCCGCGCGCACACGCACACGCGCACGCACACGCACACGCGCACGCACACGCACGCGCGCGCGCACGCGCGCACGCACACGCGCGCGCACACGCACACGCACACGCACGCGCACACGCACACGCACACGCACGCGCGTACGCACACGCACGCGCACACGCGCACACGCACACGCACGCACACGCCACGCGCACACGCACTCGCGCACGCACACGCACACGCACACGGCACACGCACACGCACACACGCACACGCACGCGCACGTGCACACGCACACGCACACGCACGCGCACGCGCACACGCACACGCACGCGCACGCGCACGCGCACGGCACGTAACAACGCACGCGCGCACGCACACGCACACGCACGCGCACACACACCACACACACGCACACGCACACGCACACGCACGCACACGCACGCACACGCGCACGCGCACGCGCACGCACGCGCGCGCGCACACGCGCACGCGCGCGCGCGCACACGCGCGCGCACGCACGCCGCGCACGCGCGCACGCGCACGCGCGCGCCCGCGCACGCGCGCGCGCGCACGCGCGCACCCGCGCACGCGCGAACACGCGCACACGCGCGCTCGAGCACGCGCGCACACGCGCACGCGCGCGCACGCGCACACGCGCACCCGCGCACGCGCGCACGCGCGCACGCGGGCACATGCGCACGCGCGCACACGCGCATACGCGTGCCCGAGCACACGCGCACGCGCGCACACGCGTACGCGCGCGCACGCGCACTCGCGCGCACGCGCACACACGCACACGCGCGCGCGCGCACACGCGCGCACGCGCACACGCGCACACGCGCACGTGCGCACGCGCGAAATCGCGCACGCGCACGCGCGCGCACGCGCGCACGCGCACACGCGCACGGTGCACCGCGCACGCGCGCACACGCGCACACGCGCACGCGCGCACGCGCGCGCACGCTCGCACGCGCACACGCGCGCGCACGCGCGCGCGCACGCGCACGCGCGCACGCGCGCGCGCGCTCACACGCACGCGCGCACTCGCGCACACGCGCACACACGCGCGCACTTTCACATCCGCGCACGCGCGCAGGCGCGCACGCGCGCACGCGCACGCACGCGCACGCGCGCACGCGCGCACACGCGCGCGCGCACGCGCGCACGCGCGCACGCGCACGCGCGCGCACGCGCACGCGCGCACACGCGCACACGCGCACGCTCGCACGCGCGCGCACGCGTACGCGCGCACGCGCGCACGCGTGCACGCGCGCACGCACGCGCGCGCACGCGCGCGCACTCGCGCACGCGCGCGCGCACACGCACACGCGCACGCACACGCGCGCGCACACGCGCACGCGCACGCGCACGCGCACGCGCGCCTCACGCACGCACGCGCACGCACGCACACACGCGCACACACGCACACATTCACACACACACACACGCTCACAGACGCACGCACACGCACGCATGCGCACACACACGCGCGTACGCGCACGCACCCACACACGCACGCACACACGCGCACACACACGCACACACGCACACACACGCACACAAACGCACGCCCGCGCACACGCACGCACAGACACGCACAGACACGCGCACAAACGCACGCACGTGCGCACACACGCACACACGCAAACGCGCGCACACGCGTACACGCACTCGCGCGCGCACGTGCGCGTACACCCGCACGCACGCGCCCGCGCGCGCGCCCGCGCCCGCGCACGCGCGCGCGCACGCACACGCACGCGCACACGCGCACGCACACGCACACGCACACGCGCGCACGCACGCGCACGCGCACGCACGCGCACACGCACACGCACACGCGCGCGTCTTCACGTGCACGCGCACGCACACACGCACACGCGCACGCGCGCGCACGCGCGCACGCACACGCACACGCACGCGCACACGCACACGCACGCGCACACGCACACGCACACGCACACGCACGCGCACGCGCGTACGCACACGCACACGTCTGCACGCGCACGCGCGCGCACGCACACGCAGACGCACGCGCACACGCACGCGCACGCGCACACGCACACGCATACGCACACGCACACGCACACGCACACGCACACGCACGCGCACACGCACGCGCGCGCACACGCGCGCGCACCGCGCACGCGCGGCGCGCACGCGCACGCGCACGCCGCACGCGCGCGCAAGCGCTACCAACGCGCAACGCGCCACACGCACACGCACGCGCACACGCACACGAATGCACGCGCACACGCAACTCGCA